AGTTCTTCACAAAAAACTGTGATTCCATAGATAAATGAGAGACAAATTAAAAAGGCACAAGGAATATATATTTTAAAAAGACCATGCAGGCACATTAGGATGGAATGGGGTTGGTCTCAGTATAACCGGCTGGATCGGCCTCCTGCTTCTGCTTTCATGTTCTGACACTGTGGCCCTTGGAAAACCAGAGCTCCAGTGACAGAGACAAATTACTGGCTGAGGTAAACTGTCTTTATGTTTGAATAAATTGAAAATGACTGAAATGCTTTCCCTGTGAGTTTAAGGAGAAATCCCTTATGGGGGTTAAACTTTTAAAGCAAAAAATCCATTAAAGTCAGTCTTTGGTAAAAGAAATCAAAGGTAGTTAAAATGATTGGCCTGCAGAAAAAAAAAATGTGTAGAAAGCTCAACTTGTCCCTGGATCATTCAAATGAGCTCAGTTGGAATTTCAACATCTGACCACCAGGGGGGAGCAGTGTGTCACAAAACTTGAATCTTGTAAGAGCAGAAAATGTCAGCAAGAGAGGCAAAACCACACAGCAAAGCACAAGAGTAAGAAGCTTTGCAAATTCGCTTGCCATAACCCAAGGGGTGGCAGAGGAAGAAGATTGAAATTAGCAAGTTCTGGAAGATCAAGAGCTCATTCAGAGTCCAGAGAGAGAGAGAGAAATCAGTGTCCAGTGTTGGCACCTTATAACAAGGGTGATGTCTTGAATGAAGGCCAGCTTCTCAGAGCATGAACGACTGGGTGTGTTTGAAATCCTGGGGCTGAGGGACACAGAAAAACAGGTATTATTATTATTATTATTACTATTACTATTATTAGTAGTCTGACTTGTTTTATGTTTGTCTCTCATTTCACAGTTCTGGCCTCTGTGGTGCCTCGAGGTGACGACTTTGTGACTTCTGTCAGAAACAGTGATGTTCATTAGGTAAGTGTGAAGTACTCATGCCACTGAGATGCAGGGAGGAAGAAGAGAACAAACTTACCTCTTGGGGTGGAGGGATGTAGTTGACATTAGACCTGAAAGAAAAAGGCACGGTAAGCACACTGGACACAGTCACCAAGAAGAAGAGACTGGAGGCAGACGACTGTGTCCTGAGTCATACTGTATCTTGCCCTGCATAAGTAATGCACATCACACATGGCAAAGCTCCCATGAGGTAAAAAGGAAAGTCAGACTGAAGTCTTGACTGAGCAGTGTGTAGGGAAACTGTGGTTCAGTGTTTGAGCCATGTCATTTGATAACAACTGTTCCTGTTCTCAACACAGATGCATACAGTCAAAATCATCTGTCTTATACACAACTGAAAACAAATCTGTAAAATGTAACCACTGCTGAATTCTTCAAGGAATAGTTTGCCTTTCTGATAAATATGCTTGGCTACTATCCTGTCAGGAAACCAGCGGACACACCCAGTCGGGAGATAGTTACGTAACCCCTGTACAACCTCTGATCCCCCAGTTTAACAAAGGTTTTTGGTTTAAACTAAGGAGATACAAAGTGTTGATAAGTGAGCTGTAGATATCACCCTTGGGCAGAGCCAGGCTCACTGTTTGCAGGCTTTGTGCTTAAATTGCCTCCTGGCTGCAGGATGTGCTTTGTGCTACTGAACTATACAGCATTATACAGAGGGCTGTTTCTGTTAGCCTAGCCTCAGTGGACAAACACTGTGTATACTGTATATCCCACGGGAAAATGCGCCCAAACCTTTAACTAGGAGCGAATATACCTGCTTACCAGCACCTCTGAAACTCACTAAGTGAAGCTTTATATCTTGTTTGTTTAATCCTTTCAACAACCCAAGTGAAAATAGATAGTGTGTAGTCGTGTAGTGCTTTCCTGGAGTCTCACAGGACAAAACATACTTTCCTGACACAAGGCAAAACATATTTACCAAAGTGTGAAACTTGATTCATTCAGCAGGGGTTAATTGTCACAGTTAGGTTTTCTGTTACATACAAGATTCAAATGATTATGGCTGTTCAGAGTTTAACTCTGTTGGCCTGAAGCGTCACACTCACATGTCCTCTGTTCTGTGCAGGGTTTGGCTGCTGATGTGGGCTGCACCGTGACAGTGGGAGATCCAAAATGACCTGTAGGGGTCAGTGTATTCGCAAGGTTTGAAAAGGGTTTGACCAGAGAGGGGTCATTTGATTCCAACTGCACACCATGCTTTTATAGAGTGGGGTGTTACTAGTGTGGAATATTGAATAATTCCTTAAGGTGTGCTTGAACATTTACATTTATCGCTCTGTAAACCTGTGTAAATTTGCACCGGTAATCTTTGTTTTGAACATTTGTAAATTCAAATCATTGCTCGCAGGCTGAATATTTAGGAATTCCAAAGACACTGACTGGTGAGAAGCTGAAGGCCCCGCACTCTCTCCATTCCAGCTGCCCTTCTTTTGTGACACTTTGTATAAAATATTCACTCCCAGTAAACCTGTGGACTGTCACTGTGCTTGCAGAAGGATGCTTGTGGATGATTTTACTTCTCATAGCTTGTGAAATTAAAGGATAACTTTGTTTTTTTGGAAGCTGCTGTATTTCTCCTAATAGTGGGTACGGGGTCTCTACAGCTAGTGCTAATTTTGCTATCATTACCTGCATTGTAGAGATCTGAGCAAACAAAAAGTTGCATTAAACAGCATTAGTGAGACAACTGGTTACTATATGAGAGCACGAGACTTGGGCTGCCCCCTGGAATAGTCATTACAGTTAGGTGCATAGGATGATTGCAAGTGTAACGGCTACCCCGGATGGCAGCTCAGATCTTGTATTTGCTTTCCTTCTGACTCAGAGTTAAGTGTGAGAAATCATTTGAATGAAATCATGTTTATTTTGGTGACACCATTTAACTTGGCTTTTTCTTAACCCAAATCTCTACAGCTGACGTGGTGATAGCAATAGCAACCAATACCCTCTTTTAGGAGAAAAACAACCTCCTTTAAGTTTGAAGGCAGAGACCTGAATGAACCAACTTGCAAAGCCCAGTTTACAGGCAGAAGTCTAAATATTCAGTCTCAACAGAAAAACAAACCTTTGAAAGCACTAAAGGAACAAATGAAACAGCACTAGGAGTACAAACCTAAACAGGTCAAGCTTACAAAATTACTCCAAAAAAAAGGTACCAAACTTTTTAAAGCACACCTTTACGAATGACCTAATATTTCCTATATTAGTAGCAGTGCTGTATAAACATGCAGCACAACACAATGCTAGAGTCAGAAGGTCAAGCGGTGAGCCAACACATGCAGCGATCCAACACCATAACGATGTCTAAATCCTATGTGACTGTGTTCTGATGCAGCTGTGAGGTTGTCCTACAGTGACAGATATAAAGATAAACAGTGATTCTCTTTGTTCCAGTTGTTTTCCATAATACCCCTGAGAGACTAGAACCGACAGTGAATTTGTACTCACTGTAGCATCTGTGAATCCAGAACCTGGTTTAGCTTATTCATCTGTTCTTCTACTGTTGTCTGAAAACAACAGTGAGTCACACCACTGCACTACAGTTGATACTTGGTACGGTCTCTGAGGCAACTGAGTGAACTGCACAGATCTCTGCTCTGTTTACACTACTCTGGTAGCTTCTTGCATTGTTATGGTTCATGTGAGAAGCCAGTGACATGAGATTCCATTGTGTCTGGTCCAGTTAGCTCAGTAAGATAAGCATCAGACTTTAACCCAGACAAAGAGCTTTTGCATCAGCTTCATGCAGAGCTCTGCGCCGACTCTCCATCAAATGCTGCGCAGTAACAAGCCAGTAATCGAATAACAAAGTAGAGCCTCAGTTTGGCCAGTCACACGATGGCATGCAGTTTATGTCTCTGTGGTCTCTGGCATCCAAACACATATTCTGGTGCAGGACACCGTTGCTCCAGTCTCCTCCTTCAGTCTCTTCAATATCTAAATAATCCATCAGGCCTAACTGCCTTCTAGTGCCAGTATTTCCCTTCTCCATAATTAAATCTCTAAATATGTTGCACTTATTTCTTTTTTTTAATTCTCTGCATTTTTTAGATTATTTGCCTCGAAGTAGCAATCATTAAAAACAAAACAAAAAACCCCCCAACCTTCATGGTTTGACATCTGTTGGCACCAATCACTGGATGAGTAAGAAAAACAGGCACAGCTGTCTCTCCATACAGTCCTGACTCAGCACACAAACACACAGTCTGAGTGCAACAACAACAGCCCACCTCACCCCTTACTGCCTCCTCCCCAATCCTCACCGGTAGGATATGTTTGTTCACATCAATGTTAATGCAATCCCAGAGCTCTTACCTTCTTCTGCGTCCTGCTGATGGGTGAGCCAGGAGGACCACGGAAAAGAAAACAGTGTCACTTTTTTGGCAAGAGTAAATACAATAGCTCTATTAAGTGACATGCTGTGGTTCTTAGATGGAAAACACAGCAAACCAGTAAATGGAAGAGAAACTCACGGCTGAAGAAGCCATTACGGTGTAAGAGGAGTCCCCCACAGCCACAGACCACGACAGCCAGGCAGACCACCACCACTGCTACCACCACGGCTGTAACGTTGACGTCCTCTGGAAGTTATGATCCGTTTGCCATATAAAGTGGTAAATTTCCAATAAATAATCCCAACACTAACCATGAACTGTCCAAATGCCAACATAAACAATCATACCATCAGCCTGTTGTTCACCTACTCTCCCACAATATTTCCTGTAATTAGTTAATGTATGGTGTGGGAAGAGACATCACACACCTATCGTCATGTGCTTGCCCTCGCACATCTTGGGCGTCCCCACCCCGTTTGATGCCTGGCAGCTGTACTGGCCGCTGTCCTCTTTGGCTACAGCTTTGAACTCCTGCAGCGATTGGAGAAACAGCCATAAAGAAGACAAACTGTGCTTAAAACAGCCTGAGTTTAGGCATTTATTCTGCTCAAAACTCAGGAACACTACCTTACGACAGAGTATTAGGGCCACTGCATACATTTTTTTTTTAAATTCTGACTTTAAAGTCAGAATTCTGAGATTAAAGTCAGAATTCTGAGTTTAAAGTCAGAATTCTGAGAATAAAGTCAGAATTTTGAAAAAAATGTATGCAGTGGCCCTAATACTCTTCCGTACTACCTAGTATTAAAGATGTCCTGATCCATTTTTTTCTGACCTGGATACTGATCCGATTCCTTTAATATTAACTCTCTGCCGATACAGATACTTACATTTACAGTATATATAGTAAATGTTCATTAATTATCTGAGTGTGTGCTCACTCACGCAAAGGAAGTGCTTGGTGTACAAACCTGCACGGAGGAGCCTACAGAACTACTCTGGAGAAGGGAGAACTACGATCCAAAACTGTGACAAATAGACAGCGAGGGAATAACTGGCTGCACTTGCCTGCATATGTACTGTACAGTGTATCCAACCTATGGTAAAATACACCTAATAAAACAACAAACACTTTAAAAAGAACTGCATAACTCAGAAAAAAAAGAAGCTAAAATAGGCTTCAGGTCACCAGTAATATGCCAGGTGACATGCAGGCAGCGTAGACAGCTAGACTGAGCACTTTATCACTTGTGTGACACACCAGTCTTGAAAACTGAGTCCTCTCAAATACAGGGCCGTTTTCCTAAATAACCGTTTTTCCCTGCCTGCACACACACACTCTCTTACCAGTACTCCTGTGTGTGAGTTGATTACATAGGTGGCGTTGGCATGACGCGGCTGGCTCATCAGGAGGTTGTCCTTGTACCAGGAGTACGTAGCAGGCGGGATGCTCTGCTGGTCCCTACAGTGCAGCTGCACCAGTGAGCCTGTCACTGCTGAACTGGGGATTTCACAGGACGGGGTGTGGGGGGGCACTAGAGGAACAGACAAAGTAAGAATTATGTAAGAATCACCAGCAAAGCACGGAAAAGCAAGTCAACCTACAAAATGTCACGGTACATCTTCAGCCGGTTGTACCGAGGACTTTGAGCGTCACGTTGGTTTCGCCCAGGCTGACAGTGTCAAGAGGAGCACTGATCTCACAGCGGTACTCCCCAGCGTCTTCCTGGGTGACCCTTTGCAGCGTCACCGTGGCCCCTTCGATGGTCGCCCGGCCCTCAAAGGGACCTGAGAGAAAGAACAGAAGGTCAGCGAGATCACAAAGCAGAAATGTCCTCTCTGGCTGAGGGTTAGTGCCACTGTGAGTACAACGTTATGTGGATAATGCATCTTTCAAAACATTCAGAGGTATTTGTTTGTGATAAACTGATACATGACCAGTAGTGCAGTGTCCCCTTGGCATATTTTAGTCCATTATTTTCCTTACTGCTACTTAAAAATTGTATTACAGGATAGGCTTCAGGATATAACATCAAGAGTCGTCTGTGCATAATTTGTAATCCATTTATCATACACTGTTCTCCACTGCAGAAATTACTCTCATCTAGTTATGAACTTGTGACAAATCAACTTTACAGGAGCTTTGTGGATTTTTCCAGATTGACTATGATACATTGCTGCTTTTCTTCCAAAGGGATCAAAACACCCAAACAAATCAGGTGAATGGTCTCAACACTTTCTCACAGCTGATCCATCACTCCTGTCTTCACATACCAGGCTGGTGTTTTCTCTCCCACTATGTGGCAAACGCCTTCCAGCTGGTGCTGCAAGCTGATTAAAACAAATGCCCCATTTGTCACTGAGAGGATAAAGAGTGACAGGCTGCTCACTCACCTCTGAAGTGCCCATCAAAGTACACGAAAGAAACATCTTTCCCCTTCTTCTTCCACTCGATGCGCGGGTTCTGGTCTCTCTCTGTGCGGAACATGCAGGACAGCACCGCGTCTGAAAAAGGGAACAGGACCAGAGAGATATTTATAGCAGAACAGCCAAGGCTTCAGCCATTTTTAATGGGTTGGTCTGTTTATAGCCTTATGGTTTATTCTGTTAGAGACCATCTAATAGAAGCACTTACAACTGAGACAAGGCAGCTCAGAGATGAGCAGTCTCACCTGAGAACTCGCGCACCTCCACCTTATGTCTGTTGGTCGACACGGTAACAGGAACAGAGGGGGAACCTGACAGTGGTGGTGAAGAGGAAGGGAGGGAGAGTGGAAGATAGAAAAAAAAAGGGTGAGAGCAGTTCAGAACACAGCACTACTTGTCAGCTATTAGGGGACAAGCTGAACTGGGTAACCAGCTCGACATTGGCCGCCGACTGCGAGAGCAGAATGCCTAAGGGTTGGTGCTGGTTTCTGTGGCTCTGCTGTCTGAGGCTGGCTGAAGCTTTCTCCAGGAGATCTGAAGTGAAGGCAGGATTACTCTCTCCTTGCTTTAATCCTGCGGGGTTAACGAGCAGCTTGCTCTATGTTTAATTAAAAGCAGGTTAGGATAAGGTCAGCAAGCATCTCACCAGCAGCTTGTCCAGATTAACCTGACGCGCCAAGTGATCGCCACGTTGTTCGTGTTTGTCACCGATACCTCACATCCAAACAGGAAGGGGAAGGAGGAAGAGTCTTTAGTGTTTGCTGACTGGTTTATGGGAACAAAAGGTCGTCTGATTGTCCTGCTTTTAAATGGGGTTAAATATAGGAGAAAGTCACCTGAGCACAGCAAAAACAGTAAACACACTGAAGATGAAAGCCTAGCACCTCCCAAAAGCCTGCAAATTAAGAAAAAGGGGAAAAGGTTTTTAGGCTGAACCATGCATTTTTGAAACGACATAGCCTAATAAATGTTGGATGGGCCTCAGGGACACTTATTCAGAACATTATGGGCTATGAAAACCTTGGCATGATGAAGATGTCACCTTCACTTAATCTTTTAAGCTAAAAGCACAGCCCCTACTCAAAGATACACACCCGTTCCTGCCATTGTCTCTCGAAATGGTACAGATTCAAATCTCATATTTCTAAACCTAAAAACACGTATAGTGAAATGTATGTCAACTCAACCATTTCCTGTTTGTCAGTCGCTTCCTGTGTGGCCCCACTGTTACTGGATGACTATGAGGGTTTTCCCTGTAAGGGAAGGTGACATGGAAGAATGAAGGTTAAGCAGAAACAAAGGCAGGAAGTGTGGTTGGATTAGAACAGGAAGATGCTGGATGGCCGTACAGTTTATGTGCAGACCCGAGAGTCTCTGTTGCTCTTATTTGCAAGAGAACAGCTATTTTTAATTTGGCTTTTAAATGAACAAAGCCTATACAACATAATCTCCCAAATGGAGCAGGACATACGCCCATGATTTTTAAAAGCCCTTCCGGAAGTTGGCTCAATTGACACCATCCTCACTGGGTCAAACTTTTAGCTAAGTGAATTAAAACTGCACATTCTGCCTCCCTTGTGTTGACTTGCGGCAGTGTAACAGGATTATCATGAAAGCCTTGGCTTGTGTACATCTCTCTGAGGAGCACCATCTCACTGAAGGATGAACAAGACGAGGGGCAAAGATTCAATGAGGTTAAAAAAGGGACAAATTAATGAAAAAGGAGAGGTGAGCGGTCCTAAGAAGAGAATACAAATGAAGTGGAGGGGAGGGGGATCCTCTCAGACAGCAGGGCTGTGAATGGGAGCAGGCCTGCCGCCACCTTGAAGGGTGTCTCTTAGAGAGGCGAGAAATGTAGCAGGGCTGACAACATGTCCGCACTTAACCGCTGCACTGACACACATAAAAGCACACACATCAAAAAATGAGTAAAGAGGCTGTCCCACTGCTCCTGTCGTGCTTCACTGAGTCCCCTACTACTGGAACACTGTCATCTCCAATGGCAGGACTCACTCCACATGGTTTGTTCAGATCATTTCACAACTGCATGGTGGGTAATGTTCACACAGTGGAGCTTTTTAAATAAAAGGTCTGCTGTCCAAGGAGTCAATGAGAGATGGCGTTCAAGTTTTGCTCACATGCAACAGAGTGTTACAGAGACTGGGGCAGGTGTTGCCAGGGCTGTGCCGAGGTCAAAAACATGGTGCAGTAATAATTAAGGCACTTATTCAAATTAACAGGAAGGAATGAGAGAGGCCCACAGGAAATATCCTGTCTGGCTGTGTGATATAGATAATGTGGCCGACAAACACGTTTCAAGGCTGTTAGGGTACAGATAAAAACCGGGTGAGGACAGTGTGTATGTGTGTTTTCTGTTTGAACAAAGCCTCTCTGTGTGCCTGTAACCCTGTGAGCAACAGCCGTCTCAGACAGACACACTGTGTGTGTGTGTGTGTGTGTGTGTTGGGGAGTGGGGTCTCTTGTCACAGAGGCCCATCCAAAACATTTCCTCCTGGACATGCATCTGTGATGGAGCTAGATGATGACTGATTTCTGTCAGGTTGTCCACAACTAAACTCTGAACTCATGACCTGACAAGTGGCAAAATCTGGAGAACAGAGTAAAACTCACCCTCTCTGTCTCATCACACTGTTATTGCTTCCTTGGAGTCCTAACAGCACTGCAGTTTTCCATGCTAGATAACAGGGAAACTCAGGCTTGTTTTGCCTTCTCCTCAGATCTTTCCTGCTCATTTCCTCCAGTATATACATATAAAAAAGTCTCCTGGACGTAGCCCTGCTACGAAAAAACCTTGTCATGACAAAAAAACTGTTTAGTTTCTGGTGGCAATCCAACCACCGACATCATGCATGGATCCACCACCTTCGTTTTTCGCCAAAACAAGTGGCTACTTGGCACCATCATGCTGCCTACACCCTTAAAAGTGCAACTTGTAGAAGGGCTGCCTCACCCCCACAGCCCACTCAGAGGGGGTTAACAAGAATATGGAATCACACTTTTCAACACCAAATAAACAATGTAGGAAAAATGTAATTTTATTTATTATCTAACTTTAACTTCTAATACCAAGACACACATTCAGTCTAATTTATCTTTGCTGAATCAGTTAAGGCAAATTAAAACCAAAGAAAATTTCACTGAGCCAGTCTCTCTCTTTTGGGAAGAGCCCCCACTTGTAAAAGTAAGCCTTTAAACCTAGAGTACCACATTTAACGACTTTTTGCAGAGACAGAACAGCTGTAGGTGCTTACTGTAAAAAGACATTAGCCTGTGACCAGTTCAAACACTACAGCTGCTCTCCAGCACTTCAATCTATATCCTAAGCTTTATCTTGTCAAGTCTATACAACAAACAAACAAGCCAATACAAATAGAGAAGCTGATTGTTTTCCCGAACGAGTAGTTGCTATTTTCCACTTACATTGCATCAGTAAAATAACAATAGGAAGATACAGGGACGTCCCCTCCATTGTCGTCCACAACTCTGGCCGAGTCTTGTCTTCCCTGGACGGAGCGAGGAGGCAGATCCCAAGCCTCAGCTTTCTTTTGGCACTTGCTCTCAACTGTCCAATTATTCATCCAGCTTTCAGGGAATAAACTGCTCTCCAGGGGTAAGCGACCGGACTGGCCCGGCGCGAAGCTGCTGGCAGGCGAGCCGATGAAAGGGACACACCTCCGGGACTGATCGGTGAGAGACACCAGTGCTAGCTGAGGAGCCTGGCTGCGAAAGGCGTGCCTCGGTTATCACAGAGCACGCTTGTTAATCCCCTCTTGTTGTGTGGCTTCGGCGCGGGTTGAGGTGGAGGCGGAGATGGAGATGGATGGAGGGAGGGCTGTGCTTTCAGGAGCGGAGCTGCGGAGCGCCAAGAGCGCAGCGTCGTGCCCAAGGCGCGCACTGCACTGCCAATTGGCCTCACAACAAGAGTCAACTGGGTATGGCAACAAGGTGTGGCTCCCATCATACCTCAGCCCGAGAAGGACCTAGTTTGACCCCAGAGTTCGTTTGTTTTAAATATTGTTGGAGGGACTGAGCCCCCAAACTGATCACCTCATGTATCAATGCATTTAGCGTCTGACTTACAAGTTTACAGCTATATAAAACGGAGGATCTGTCCCAGGCAACCAATCTCCGATAGATTAACTACAGGCCATTAATAGGAGCAATTTATGTGTTACCAGATTGTGAAATTCGTCTATGACCCACTAGGTTTATTAATGTCTTACCAGCATTTATACCATCATTACCACATAAAAACAGATTATTCCCATCTTAAAAAATAAACTGTTCAACATACTTATTTTAAGTGTTAATGGACATTTAGATTTTATAATATGGATCCAATAACATCTGGGTTGCAACCAAAAAAGCTTCTTGAAATAAGAAATGCATGATCTTTTCTTTCCAAGTAAAAGCTCAGTGCAGACTGTTTCATTAACACAAATCCTGCAGGGCAATGATTCCCCAGTGAATTACTATTGACTAAACAAGTGTTGAACATCAAGACTGTCTCAATAGCTGACAAATACACTTCCAGTCCTCCCAGTATAGGAGAAGGAGACCTTTGCAGTGAGTGCACTGTTGGCCTCATACTGTGTGAGCTGTTCACCACAAAATGGACAACAAACATTGTAAATTCATTTCTAGAAATGCATTTTTCCACAGTGTTTTCGTAGCTATTCAAATTTAATCATATCTGAGCAGCAGATGCTACAGCAGCGAGGAGCCTGGAGGACTGACTCAAACATCTCAGTCGTGCTGGTGTTGGTGTGACTGGCTGAAGTCGGAGGCATATGTCCTTGGGTGTGTCTCACACATTGTGTGTGTTGGGGTGGGGGTTGTAACTGTGGTGGTATGATGCTTGAGCGGGGGGCAACAGCTGCACAGCTGTCTGACTTTTCTGACCTGAGGGTTCAGTTGCCCACTGATGGTGACCGACACACAAGCAGAGGACGAGATCACTCTGGATAAAATAAACATAAAGGGCTGTTTCGCTAAGTTTTACACTACCTCACAATTATACATTCAGGAACTACTCCTTTAAACAAACAATTTACTAATGTATTGTAGGCCATCAATAAGATATTACCAAGAACATGAGAAGACACAGAAAATGCTTGTGACAATCCAAAGTTGTCTTCAAACAACTTGGTTTCTCCAAGTAAAGTTTCAAAACTCAAAGATATTTAGATTAATATTGCATCAGACAAAGAAAAGCAGCAAATCCTGACAAACCTGAAGCTGGAACCTGAAAATGTTTTAACAGCACTTAAAGATACAAAGTGCTGTTTGTTTGGAAAACAGCCCAGTTTATCTAACGTTTAACTTGACAAAATATTGTGTGCCAAAAAAAAAAAAAAAAAAAAAAAAAAGGATTTAAAAATGAACTGATTATCAAAATGATTAATTTTCTGTCAGTCGACTAACTGATCTGTTTAAGCTCTAGTGAATGCTTTCCTATAAAATAATAAGGAAGTGTTAACTGAACATTCACAGTGCATTTCCTTAAGCATGACTCACTTTATCTTTATTATTAAAAAAAACAAAACAATGTTTAATAAGAATTGTTTATCAGTATTTGTAACTACAGAATTGAATGGAAAATAAGACACCGACCCCTTTCTCACAAATCGCCTTTAACTGATCAATAGAGCATTAGCAAATGATTTATTGATAATTAGCAACATTCACTAACTTGTGAAGGTTTTATCCAGGGTGACCGATTTGAAGTGGTACCAAACAATTTGAGGCTGCAGTTCCTACACAGTGAAGTGCAGGCATGAGAGAGGGTCTCAGTGCTGTGTCCAAACTCCTGGAATCCTGGGAAAAGAGAGGCCAGAGAGCCACCTGTTTGACGAGTGACAGAAGCAACAGCTGCGCCGCTGCCTGACCCTTCAGCCAACACACAATCACACATTCCAATTTTGTTTTGAACCGCAGACGCACACAAGCGCAGATCCGCACCCCTCCATTTTCAATCTTCTCTCCCATTCCTATACACCCACCATCAGCTGAGCAGTTAAAGTGAGGTAGCTCACACCAGGGAGTGCACGAATCTTTCAACACACTCAAACGAGGCAACAAGGTCACAGGTTTCCTTCAGTATGTGGTGATTTCCATATGAAAGAGAGAAGTTGTCAAATATTTTTACAAATTTATTGAACAAATAAAACAGTAAGATACATGTCAAAGTGTGTGTGTGTTACTGGCTGCTCAGAGGTGGAGCAGAATGAGCAGGAGAGGGTGGAGTCACTTCTCCAGGTCCTGGCAGCTCCATCTGAGCAAAAAAAAAAAGAAAAAAGAAAGAAAGTCACACATGTTAACAATTGTTTTATACTCATGACATCCCTCTCTAACCTACTCCACACTAACACAGAAAAAATGAGAGGGGTGTGGGGGCATAATGCTTCCAACTTGGAAAACGTGGGACAATCTGTTTGCAGCGTGGGCCGCTGTGTTGTGAGCGCCAGCTGGAGGCAGAGGAGGGGGACGTGCTTCCCTGCTGCCTGTGGCCAGCTCACGAAACGGGCTCGCCCACGCCTCGCTCATTTATCAACCTGCTTCTGGTGAGTCCTCTACAGTGGCACATACCACGTAGGACAAAACAATGCAAACCTTTTAACTGTACAATATATTATTACAACAACATAGCCTTAAAAAGATAAGGTTGAATCAATACCTCTCATAAAATGTTGCTGTACCACTGGGCTATTAGACAGAACTGCATTCGACAATGCTGTTATTAGACCACATGGATATTACATTGCAAACACAACAGGAAATTTATGAGTTTGGAAACATCTAATCCAACTCAGCAACAACAAAGGCTCTGGTGCCACGACTACATGCTGAAGTGACTCAATATGATTTTTTTTCTGATCACACCAAAGTGGAGGGAACACTGTATCCAAGCACATGCGTGGCAGTTTAGGAGCTCAGCGGTGTTCAGATTGGAAGTGGAACTGTGTCACTCACAAACATGGCAAAAAGATGGGAGTTGAGCATTAAGGCCTGTGATGTGAATGCAGCTTTGTTTTGGTGCTGGGGAATGAACAATGCTGCGACATTTTTATGCTGTCCACACAAAAGAAACTGCAGTGACATTCAGCAAGTTTGGAAGAGAGAATAAAGGTGAAGTGTAAAAAACAGTCCACAGGCTGACTGGGACAATTGGCATACAGTGAGAGGTTATGACTAACATCTTGGATGTGCTCTTTTTCATGTCTACAGTAGTAAATAAAGTGGCTCAGCCAGCCTGGCTAAACTGTTGGCTTGTTTACAACCTGTCTGACTGTAGCGATGTAGAGGTGCTCCTAAATACTCTGATGGCTACACTGTTATAACTGATAGAGGTGATGGCCATTGTAGAGTTTAATATACAGTACGAATACTGACTTTCATTTGCACACACCTTGAAAGTGTTGCATTCTGGGTATGCAGATGCTAGCATGCCGGTCACTACCTTCTTTTCTAATCTGATAAAGGCAGCATCAAATTTATACTCCAAAAGTCCAAAAGTGAAATATGGAAAATTGCAGCTGCTGATCACTGTCTCTCACAGCTTTGCCACCTTGTCCACATGAGGAAGAGCCTGGCATTTATCTGCAAACACTGATCGAGGCAGGACGAGTGGGCAGCCTGTGGCTTTATAAAAAGAGCTAAAACATTCATGTTCCTGCCAGTGACAGCTGTTGAGGAGAGACTATGTGCACTGTTGTTGGTTTGCCTACATACGTATATTGAAAACACTGTGGTTTATAGCTCCTCTGCACATTAGTGGTACTGATGCACTGTTAACACATGGGACAAAAAAGGACAGGATGGCTGACTTCCATACCCATTATATCCACACTAAACACAGCAAGCAGTGCTTTGTGATGACACAGAACAGTGTCCTTCCAGACCATAAACCTGATGCCCAGCAGTGCCTGTGGCAGCTCTGCATGCTAATCCTGTACTTGTAAAACTCCACAAGGCTCCACTGATAAAGTCAGTCCACACTCTGACATCTACAGTTTTGTCTTCAATAAACATCTATTTCAACTCCTTCAATAACTGAATCCCTGAAAACAAAATGTAGGCCACAGTATGTCATCGGTTGCCAAATCAAGTGTTTCTAATAATGAGTACATCTTTTTTTCATTACGTAACCAGTGCTGCACAGAGAATGTCAAAAAGGCTGCAGCAAAATATATTTCACTTAGATGGCTCCATCCAGAATGAACTCATAGCCTAGTTTGAATCAGAACCTCTGATTCTCCTTTAGTGTTGGTTGGCTATGCTCAGACAGTGTGGCTTCAACTATGGGTCAGTCTGAGTGTCATGATGTACAGTGTCCAGAATAAGAGCCTTGAATCTGGAGAGATTTAAAAATACTCCCTGCCTGGATCTTGAGTGTCTGTGTCTTTGATTTGGAGTTCAGAAAACAGCCGTTTGTCCTTCAAAAGGAAGAGGAGATGAGACCTGCCTCTTCCTGAAGAACATAGCACACACTGCTTCTCCAGTGCGAAGCAATTAAAATCCTAACCTCTGGCTACTTTGTGAAATCTGATGTGATGGCTGCACCCAGGGAGTGGGCTGCATAAGTGTGGAACAAGCAGTAATTTGGACAAATATCCAGCATCTAGACCAGACCGATGCTCCAAAACTCTAACAGCCCCCCTCTGTGAGTTGGCCTCAGTGCATCAGCTTTGATGTCAGTGCTGCTAGACGAAAGCGTGAGCTGGAAAACAGACATGTGTTGTTCCTACCGGTTTCTTTGCCCGCTGCTGCAGTTTCCTCCAGACTGTGTGGTGAGCCTGCAGAGAAGCAGAAAATGTGACTTGCAGGCACATGTAGATGCCAATAAAATATTTTTGCTGCAGTATAATCCTCTGTGCAATTATACACAACAAGCCCTAATATTATACAGATTGTTTAATAATCTTGATTATTATTAATCACCTTTTGAAAGTGAAATAAATGTAGATCTAAGACATTTTCTAGGTGGCAACGAAACCTGCAAATACTTAAAGTGAAGGTGTCAATAACATTTTAAAAACTGATATTTTGTCATCATTGCCTCACAGGTAGACTTCCACTCTTGCCATCGAAAAATTTAAGTAGGGAAAAAAAGATGGCAGATACCCAGAGTCCTCAGCTGAACTTTCTGGGTATTGGTATTGTTTTTTTAAAGGGTTGTTACATCATATTCCACACACACATCCCTACCTGCAGCTGCAGAGGCAGGGAGAGGCCCTGTGCTCGGCGGTGGAGGCCGCAGGGTCCCTGTCCCAGGCTGTGGAGGGCCGTCACCTCGTACTGGAAGCACATGCCTGTCCTGGCCACTAGAGGGCCCCCACTCAACAACACATGGTCACCACATCTACAGAAAACAAAAGAAAAAAGGGTATGTAGTTGAGGGGGTTAATAGAGCTTTACAAGATATACAGTCAGGTCCATAAATATTGGGGCATCGACACAATTCTAACATTTTTGGCTCTATACACCACCACAATGAAATGAACCAAGGCACATATGCAAACTGTTGTAATTCCTACACCGTTCACCTGATTTGGATGTAAATACCCTCAAATTAAAGCTGGCAGTCTGCAGTTAAAGCACATCTTGTTTCATTTCAAATCCATTGTGGTGGTGTATAGAGCCAAAAATGTTAGAATTGTGTCGATGCCCCAATATTTATGGACCTGACTGTATAAACTTCTTTAAATATAAACAGATGTGATATCAAACTGACAACAGTGGAAATGTGAGCAGACATGAAGGTCTGAACCAAAATCACCTGTAAAGCATCACTGTGCCTTTGGGATTTTGGGCTGCCTTCTGTTCCACCTCTTCCTGTTTACACCTGGCAGAGAGGAAAAAACACCTGATACCAACACTCACCATGTGTTTGTAAGCGACAGGAATGAGCATGACTGGTTTACAATAGTGAGCATGGTCAGGACAGAGTTTACCTGCTGTGAGTGAAGACCTCCAGGGCAACAGAAGGCACCACCTCTAGAGGCTCCCAAACCAGGTCCTGGTGGATCAACTGCTGGGCCCCTCGAGTCAGAGAGCGCAGTGATTCCTGCAGAGAAAAACAGCCCTGCTGGATTACAAGGTCAACTCACATAACCTGTGATCCACAACACAAGCCAACAAAAACAAGCTCTGATTCATTCAGCCCTACAACTGCTGATGCACAGAGGCTTCACATTTAAGGTAACAATAAAAACACACACTGCAAAGCATCACCAGCTGTTTTGCTTTCTAACATGCACATGTACATTTAGCCAGCAAACTCAAACACTCTGCCGAAATATAGATAAACAACACTGTGGAGTTATAGTACTGACAGGGGTTTATAATCAGGAATTACTTCATGTAATTGCACCTGTACTGTTTAACTGCTGACTATTACACATACAACTTCAATGTAGCATACATTATCTCTTGTTCTCATTACTGTTGGCTGAAAAAAAAAACACATAATAAACTCCCAGGACTTTGCTAAGAAAGTCCAACAACTGAAGCTGGACCAGGACGAGACCATGGTCTCATATGATGTCACATCCTTGTTCACGTGCATCCCCATCATGGAGGCTGTCAAAGTGGTGAAGAAGAGACTGCTGAAGGATGACACGCTAAACAACAGGCCTAACCTCACCCCAGACCATGTATGCACTCTGCTGGAACTCTGTTTAAACACTACCTACTTCCAGTTTAGGGGGCACTTCTATAGGCAGCAACACAGCTGTGCTGTGGGCTCCCCGGTGTCTCCTATAGTTGTCAACCTGTACATAGAAGAATTTGAGGACAAAGCCCTGTCTTCTTTCACTGGTAACGCTCCCAGCCATTGGTTCCACTACGTGGACAACACGTGTTAAAATCAGGACCCAGGAGGTAGAAGCTTTCACCAAACATATCAACTCTGTGGATGACAACATCAAATTCACTCATGAGGATGCCAGAGATGACTGTCTGGCCTTTTTGGACTGTGCAGTCCACTTGGGAGGGGACAGAAGCCTGAAAGTAGAAGTATATCGGAAACCTACACACACGGACCAATCCCTGCTTTTTGACTCACACCATCCACTTCAACACAAACTGGGAGTCATCAGAACTCTAAATCACAGGGCAGA